GAACTCATGATTTAGCCTCCTATGTGCAGTGACCACGGATGTGGACCGCCAAACCTGGCAAGCATGTGTAACATCTCGCCCATGTGGGCACTGGTATGCTTTCAAGTATTATGGAAAATATAGACCAGTAATTCTCACCCTTACGCTAAGGTCACCTGGAGTGTCTGTAAATACATCTTTCTGGACCTCAGCCTTAGACAACTTTAGCTTAAGAGTTCCTCACCATAAGGGAGCATTTAGACTGGCACAGCTTCATTGGTATAGTCCGCTGACTGAAATTTATAACTAAAAAAACTCTTGGAATTTCCCTATTAACTCATTTTTAGAAAGCAAAACACATGAGCTGTCCTTCTTCTCAAAATTCACGGATATCTGATCATTCCTATGAGCATCAATGTTGACCGTGCAATTTGTACTTTATTCTTAAATCTGGGCAATTTAGTTGCATAGCTTGCATAATTATCTAATTACTGGCAATTTGTGGAGCCCACTTGTTAAACTGTGCCCCTAAAAGAAGGTGTTGAGATGTTAATGACTTGCAAACAAGGGTCTATGTAGATTCAGCTGAGCCCCTAAGGCTGGACCTCACTAAGCTTTACTGGTGTTCTCGCAAAACCTGGGCACACTGGGCACAGATGCACGGAGGGGTACAGGGTAACCGCGTGCCTGAAGAGAGGGAGGGTCAAAGACAGCTGGCCCGCTGTCAAAGGCTGGAAAGAGGCATGGAGGGGACACTGGGACCAGGGCCCTGCTCACCCTTATCCTGGGCCTCCCAGCTCTAGGACTGGGAGACAGGAAACATTTGCTGGTTCAGGCCACCCAGTTTTAGTACTTTCTTAAAGGCCTGACAAACCAATATACCTTTAAATCCCTCAGCTCACAGAACATGGCACCCATTGAAACTCCCTTCTCCACAGCTACCTGCCCTCTTAGGATGGCTTTGAATGTATTCAACATACTGTATTATAAGCCCAAGTATATTAGAATTACTTCAGAATTTATAAACTAAAAAGGTTATAGTAACTTCACATACTTTGCTACTGAAACGTGAGTTTAAAGAGTGTACTAGAGTTTATTAGTCAAACTTAAAATAAATGGTATCTTGAAATAACCAATATATTAAATGTTGAGCCATATTGTGAAGATGCCACAAGTTTGATAATGTGGACACATCACCACAACTTAAACAAATACGAAATCTCAGCTAGAGAATAATGGGAATACATGTGTGCGTAAGTCCCTGCATGGGAACACACATGCACATAAGTCCCCACATGGGAATACACATGCACATAAGTCCCTGTATGGAAATACATGTGCACATAAGTCCCCACATGGGAATACACGCGCACATAAGTCCCCACATGGGAATACACGCGCACATAAGTCCCCACATGGGAATACACGCGCACATAAGTCCCCACATGGGAATACACGCGCACATAAGTCCCCACATGGGAATACATGCACACATAGTCCCCACATGGGAATACACACACACATAAGTCCCCGTATTTGGGATTAAACGTGTACATAAGTCCTCACATGGGAATACACGTGCACATAAGTCCCTGCATGGGAATACACTTGCAAATAAGTCCCCGCATGGGAACACACATGTACATAAGTCCCCACATGGGAATAAATGTGTATATAAGTCCCCACATGGGAATACACATGTACATAAATCTCCGCATTTGGGAATACACGTGCACATAAGTACCCACATTTGGGAATACATGTGTACATAAGTCCCTGCATGGGAATACACGTGTACATAAGTCCCCGCATGGGAATACACGTGCATTTAAGTCCCCGCATGGGAATACACGTGCACATAAATCTCCGCATTTGGGAATACACGTGCACATAAGTACCCACATTTGGGAATACATGTGTACATAGGTCCCCGCATGGGAATACACGTGCACATAAATCTCCGCATTTGGGAATACATGTGCACATAAGTACCCACATTTGGGAATACACGTGTACATAAGTCCCTGCATGGGAATACACATGTACATAAGTCCCCATATGGGAACACATGTGCACATATGATCCTGCATTTCCAGACACCACCTGGGTTCTGTCTGTGGATAGCTCTATGGTGAAGGGACCCAGATGAAGAACACTGGAAACCTCTTGGTTTTATTCAGAAACTCTCTTTGTCATTTTGACAGATTTGGCCTAAACGTGGCTGACAGTCAACCCTTACTTCGTGGGTGCTACCAAAGGAGCAAGCCAAGGACCGCTGCAGGCTCTGCTGCAGCTCAGTGCTCAACATCTGGGCCTGGGCACTCTTAGTCAAGTACCCTTAAGTGAAATGCTTGGGACCAGGTGTGTATCAGATTTCAGTTTTTTTTACAAAACCAATATATGGGCAGACTTTACTGACAAAGCATCTCCAATCTAAAACTCCAGTCTGAAATGCTCTGAAAGCCTAGGATCTTGGGTCACTTCAGGTGAGGACACTCCACCCGTACTCCCATGGCACTGGAGGGAGGCTGCCTGGCTGCCCTTCTCCCGGTGCACAGATGCGGATGACCTGAGGTTTTGTAGCCTCTGTGGAATCCGTGGGTGGCCGGAGGCAAGACACAGACATGAAGCTTTCTTATGTGGTCACTAACAGTGTTCACTAGATTGTGGGAGCGGCAGTATGGCCCCCGACCTCAGCTGAGACAGCAGCTCCCTGCGTGGCTGGGCCTGTGATTTTGAAATTCCAACAGCTCAAATGGGTGTAGATTTCTGCAATCCTTTTTTTCATATAGAGTGAAACTTTAATGTTCTAAAATAAATCCCTTTTGTGTGTGTGTGCCTGTGAGTGTGCTCGTGTTGATATCTGTGTGTGTGTGTGTGTGTGTGTGTGTGTGTATACACTTGTGTGGGTATGAGGTTAACCTCATTTGTTAGCCTCATGGGTCATGTTTCTTAGGACCACTTTGTCTTTGGGGACAGGGTCTTTCATTAAACCTGGAACTTGTGGAGCTGGCTAAGCCAGTCACCCACCAAGTCCCAGGGAGTATGCCTGTCTCTGCCTCCTCAGCACTGGGATTAAGGGAGCACCTCTACACTAGGTGTGCTTTTGAATGATTGTGGGAATCGAACTCAGGACCTCCTGCTTGCAGGGTAAACATTTATTCAGCTGAGCTCTCTCTAGTCCTAACTTTTCCCCCTGGAACGGGCTAGAGTAAATGCTGTCATGCACGCCTGAGCTGACCAAACTGGCTACAGCTTCCATTCCCTGCTATGAAGCAGCCACCGCTTCTGCTTTCCACCCCTTACCAAGCATGGCCGGGCCAACGTCTACAAACTGAGAGCAGAATGCCAGCATGCCTCCTGATCTTTTCCGTTTGTGTGTTTATTTGTTTTTATTTTTTTCCTACTCTTCTTGGGCCACCACACCCCTTCGGATTCATATCACTGAAAGCACTCTAGAAATACACAGACTAGCCAGAAGATTCTGTCCCTTTCCAAAGGAGTAGCCCATCACGTCTAAGGAAGTAAAAACCTATATAAAATGCTAGGATAGAACCCCTCACCTCACCTGTTCCTCTGGGAGGCTATGAGCTGGCTTGCTTACTATACCATGTGGAAGCTAAATGAAGTTCCTTTTCCTGTAAGGAGATAATTTGTATCGAACATTCCAGGTGAGCCAACAGCTGTTGGCTTGATCTTTGAGGGATAAAGTTACTCCTCAGGCCAAAACAAAGCCCAACATTATGTCATAGAAAAATCTCATGAAAAATTACCTCAACAACATGGGAAAAGCAAAACCAAAACAGACTGTACCAACAGCCTGCAGTTCCTGGTTACCAAGGTGTCTGTGGAGAGTGAGCTCGTCGAAATCTTTAGATTGAATTTATTCATCTTTTATTCTGGTTTGCCTTTTTTTTTTTTTTTTTAAAATCTATTTTCTCCCTCCACCCCCTCTCATCACAACCCCCTTTCATCCCTCCCATCCACCACCATAACTTTAAATTCATTGTTCAGAGGCAAGAATTTCCAATAGGGTGAAAACACTTGCTTTTTAAATCACAATGATGTAGGAAAACGAGGTGTGATTTTGTATCTAATCTCTCTGAACCTATTTGTGAAGTCTCGGCGATATGATCCCATACTTGATCAAAACCCAGTGGGCAAACCAATGAAATTAAATTATATGCAATTTTGTTAGCTAACAAACAAACAAACGAACGAACTCAGCCATTTAAAATCCAAGTTGATCATAGAAACCAAATGTAAGAGAAACCCAGACTTTGGGTTAGAGCCCTGCCTCTACAGCGGGAAAACCCTTTTCTTTAAAAGGGTCATTTCTGAAAACCCACTTTGATGGAGTTGGCTTCGATTTCCCTCTAAATTACAAAAGCTATTAAACATGTTCATGTTAATACCGGGAAAGTACTAACCGTTCAGGCGAGTGACCAAAGCTCCTGGAAACTTTAAGCTTTGAAAACACCACTTTTAAAGAAGGTATTTTTAGTTGCCGTTTTTCACTCTAGGAACTCAGGTCTTTCCTGGTTTCCCGGTTCACTGACATTATCAGTAGCTGCAGGAGCTGGGAAACTGCGGGAAGTTTAGCAAACTTGAAAGAGGGTGCGCATGAGGCTTCCCACTGCCTCCATGTTTCCCAGTCCAGAAGGCTCCAAACCAAGTCCTGAGCCCCCAGGAATGGATTTCCCTGCCCTTGGGCTCACCGCACCCACATATCACAATCACAGTTAGAAAGGTCACTAGGGCCTGAATGTGACGGTCAAAGAGAGGGTGCTTGAGCGTGAGTTCTGCTCACTCTGCTTGCCGCAGGTCGGGCCCAGTTCTGTCCCACCTCGGGGTCGCCGCAGGTCGGGCCCAGTTCTGTCCCACCTCGGGGTCGCTGCAAGTCGGGCCCAATGCTGTCCCACCACGGGGTCGCCGCAGGTCGGGTCCAGTGCTATCCCCCCGCGGGGACAACGGGTGCGTTCCTGGCTGGGGTGCTGGGGGGCGGGGGTCACCGCACTTACCAGCAGCAGCAGCAGCAGCGCGCACCGGCCGCCCGGGCTCCGCGCCATCGCCTCGCTCCGCCGCACCCTCGCCTCCGGACCTCGCCGGCGCCCCACGGATCCTCCAGACCAGGTCCCACCCGGGGCCGCCCCTCTCCGCCTCAGCCCTGCCCGGGGTGCGGTTCCAGGTGTGGCCGGGTCAGAAAGGGTAGCCGGGGGCCGGCCCGCGAGCCTGGAGGTGGGGAATGCGCTCCGCGGGGAGGTGCGAGCCAGTTCCCGCCCTCCGCCCTCTGCACCTGGGGCGGTGACGTCCCCTGCTGGGGACCTTGAGTGGCTGGCCCCGCCCCGTCGTGTCTCCAGCCCGGTCGGTCCCCTCTTCCTCCGGGACGAGCTGGAGTAGAGAACTTTCTAGCAGCCTGTCCAGACCCCAGGACACAGGGTCTAAGAAGCGGAACTCGAAACCCACGATCGCAAGGCTGCTGTGGAAACGGGCTGACGGTGCAGGAATGAGTGCAGGTGGCGACCGGGAGACACGCGGGCCACGCGGCGTGGGGCTTGCTGTTTAGAGTGGACTTCAGTAGTGTCCCTCTAAGGGCCGCTCACTCATCTCTGTGGCCCTTTCCAGCAGGTTTGCAACTTTTCTGGCGCAGCGAGCAGACCTAGAAGGCCATAGAAGGCTCTCATAGCTGGGCACCAGAGACAGGTCTTTGTCTTGCTGAACTCGGTTAGTAACGTCCAATACAGTGAGCTGCTATAGGAATAAAATCACAAAGTCTTTATGAATCTTTCTGCAGTAGCCAGCACTTTAGGACTCAGTGATAGCTGTTAAAATTAAAACAATATTATTGCAAGAGTAAGTGCGTAAATGTTAAACTGAACTCTATTGTTATATTGTTATTCTAATTACTATTATTTTTAGACATAGTCTCACTTGTAACCCAGGCCCACCTCAGACTTGAGATCTTCCTTCCCCATCCTCCCTGTTTGGTTCTGTGATTACAAGTGTGCTACCAGGCCTGGTTAAATGAATTCGTGAAAAACAGAAACTGAATATGGGTGTCCAGACATTGACGTCAGCACAGGTTAGAAAAATCCCCTTTGGCACATAAGAAGTAAAGTATTATGGAAACCACTCAGGTAAATTTGAATATATGTGCATTAATTATCTGCACAAATATATTTTGAACTAACACAGTACAGCATCTAAAGAAAGGTGTTTGCCATAATCTTTAGCTGATGGGGGCTTTGTTAAGTTTTAATTTTCACATCTTATTAACACTTCTGTTTATTTCTGGTTGATAACACAGTAGTGGAAGATCCTCTATGCACAGAGGGCTGATGGGAAACCAGAGCCGCTAAATTTAGCTCAAGCAGCCGAGTTACTGCTGTAGTCACAAGTGGCTCCCTCTTTTCTCTGAGGATCCCCTACTCTTTGCCCCTCAGCTGCAAACTGACACTTTTCACAGTTCAATGCCATCCTTATCTATGTTATTGTCAGCCCCTCTCCCGAGTCTGCAAAGCGTCCTATGAGCTGAGAAGCATCTCTGGCCGACTTACCCTGTTTTGTATATGGTGGTCGGTAGATGAGCTGGTGACAGATGAGTTTCTGCTCACTGTCCTCCTCAATGGAGTGGACCCCTCTGCCTGGTTACACAGTTAAATGTTGAGAGAAGAGTGTCTTTCAGTTTCTATGCCTTCCTCTTGAGCTAGATGTGGGTGGGTACTCCATAACCTGCAGTAATACTCATTCTTCACAATGCTGGAAGAACTAACCGGAGACAGCAGGACTTACCAAATTGTCTGCAGACCGTCCCAGGAAGCTTCCTCTCAGCTCTATCTAAGAGCACTCTGGTCTTTGAGCCCTGTAGACATGTATTTATGCTTCATTATTAAGACCACAGGAACTGTTTCCTAAAGAAGATAATTGTAGCTTCCAGTGTAAGAACTAGTGAATATAGATTTTATTTCTCTTGAATTATTCAACAGCCTAGGGGACTGTCAAAGTAAGCTTCAGGCAGTATCCCTGTATAAGGTTCTGTCCCAGGACTTGAGAGGTGTCAGTCCTACCTGCACCGTGTGATGCCATCACTTTGCCAATTCTGAGCCTAGGGCTCAGTTGAGGGGACTTTCTGAGACCCAGATAATTCATATCTACCTCTTTAGCCTCTGATTTCTTCACACCTGGATGATGTTAAATTTATTTAATAAATCTCTGCATATAAAGCTAAGTGTGGCCCTTTCCAATGAAGCAGTAAAGATGACTTCAGGATAATGGAAATGTTGACAAGATGTGAAAAATTTAACTCCTAGGCTCCTTCCTACCTAAAGTGGTTTAAGATTATGGTACACATATTTTCTTTAGATGCTTAAGCTTATTAGCCCAAAACATATTTTGTTCCAATAACTATATTAAAATATGTTGAAATTGGTCTGGAGAAATGACTCAGTGGTTAAGACTGCTTGTTGCTTTTGCAGAAGAGCCAGGTTTGGTTCTCAGAACACACATGGTAGATCACAACCATTTGTAACGCCAATTCCTGGGGGTTCATCTTCTTCTGACCTCTCTGGGCACCAGGCACACACATGGTACACATGTATACACACAGGCAAAACATTCAAACACACACACACACACACACACACACACACAGAGGCATTAAAATTTGCCTGTTTTCCATAGTGGGGATTGTGATAATTTCTAAGTGATTAGTTTTGGGTTCACTCCTAATATCACCTAAAATAAATGTTTTAAAGGTCAATAAAAATTTGTGTATCTCCTCTCTACTGTCACTGCCTCCTCTTCCCACCACTTGGGAAGAGTTTTATAATTGACGTCTTTTAGCTAAAGGTCAGATAGCTAGCTGGCCATGTAATTCCATTGACAATCCTTCTAATCATTACAGTTAATCTTTGAGACTTTGAAAGCCCAACTTGGCTGTTGTCATAAGAAAATACCTCCCCAGAAAATCATGTAAGACACAAAGTTGTTGTGGTCAGTACGCTTACCTACAGAATTTTAATTAGTAAATGATACCAAGTTGGGGATGTAACTCGGTGGTAGAGTGCTTGCTTGACTGGTACTGGTGCCCTGGGTTTAAGCCCTACCTTACCTTGATGCCATAACCAGATAACTGTCAAGAAGCAGCTTAAGGAAGAGGGGAAGGGTTTGTTTGGCTCACAGTTCGAAAGGTAGCGTTCAGTATGACAGGGAAGGCATCGTGGTGGAAACTAAAGTTTTGGTTCCACTGAGTCCTCTGTCAGGAAGTGGAACGAAGTGCGTCTGGGCTGTAAACCCTCAAGGTTCATGTCCAGCAGCCCACTTCCTTTAGCTAGGCCCAATCTCCAGATGGTTCTACAACTTCCCAGAACAGCGCCACCATCTGGGGACCAACCAGCTGAACACATGATTCTGTGGAGGACTTGACATCCTATCCATAACACTAACACCATGCTAATAGATGATAGCTAGAGAGATAAGTCTAAATAAGTAAGACAAAGACAGGACAAAATATGGAATACAATTTCATACAATACAGGGAGGAATCTGCTTTTGGTTTAGATTTGTGGGGGAGGGAATGGTCAAGTGATCTCTCTCCGGTTTCCCCCTTTTACTTATTAAAAATGACTTTACACTTATCTTGTCATTGTGTGTGTGTTGGTGGAGGTGTGTGTGTCAAGGCTGGAAGTAGAGGACACACATATGGAGTCGGGGGATGGCGTGTGGGTTCCTGGGAGAACTGGGGTCCTCAGGCTCGGCAGCCATGTCTTCACTCTCTGAGCCATCTTGCCTGCTCTTTCTTGGCCCTTCCCTGCCTGCTCACACAATGATGTGTCTTTCGAGGCGTGTTTTCACTTCCTTCTTCTTCCCTGACACCGGGCATAATATGCAGCTGTTTCTATTGTGCAGACCGGCCACAGTCTTTCTTTCCAAGCTTCAAACACGAGCCATTACTACACATGTGGATGGATATTGCCTGGGAACCTCAAACAACCATGATGATGTGGCAGAGCTGTCACTCAGCACGCCGACAGAGAAGGATTTCTGTCCTGTTGCCCCCTCTCCAGAGCAAGTGTGCTCATTCCTCACCTGCTTGTTAGAGTGAGTGGTGGCCTTGTCACCTGGCTACCCAAGCCTGACCTCTCTATCATTCTCAATCTCGCATTAGGACTCCTGAATCCACAGCAAATCCTACTCCCTGTGTGGAGCAGCAATCGCTGTGATACATGGCTGTTTCACCCAGGTCAGCGGCTCTCCCAGCCTGCTGGTCTGAAGACTGTTAGTTCCGTAAGATAGCGACTCAGCCCTAGTCAGTTTCATACAGGAAGAGCGATAAAAATTCGTTGGACCTAGCTAACAGACCAGAAGGAATTAATTATAAGTGAAAAACGAGTATTATGAAGGAAAATGCTTTGAATACCATGGTGAGTGAATTGATAGGTTAGTTAGAAAAAGCTGGTCTGTGATGTGTCTCTCTCTCTCTCTCTCTCTCTCTCTCTCTCTCTCTCTCTGTGTGAATGTAATCACATGCATATACATGTGATCTGTGTATGTGTGTTTCCTCAGCAACCCTGAAGCCAAACAGAGAAGGTGTGAGTCAGGTTGTGGAGCACCCTGGCTGATGGCTGAGAGATTTACGTATCCAGGATATACATGGAGCTGTGTGTGGCTGGGAGGGGGAGGGGGAGGGGGAAGCCGTCAGAGTCCAGGAGCCAACTGAGAACAGAGTTCATCACCCTGAAGGTGGAGAAGTTAACAGAATTATCCTTCCTCTCAGTCCGGGAGAGGGAGCCGTGTCCTATGCCCCAGAGGCCAAGGTATGAGCATCAGACGTCATAGCCGGGTCTTGAAGTGTCTGGAATCCCTCACTTTTTGGACCAGCAGCCAAATGCAGCAGCTTAGGAAGTGAGAAGGAAGCACTATAGGCTACGAGCTGCTGATGGAAAGGTGGGCGGAGAGGTAAAGTCAGCATTGGGAGAGCTGGCAGAGCTCAGAGGAGGCAGCAACATTGTTAATAAACAGTCGGCACCAGGGAGGCAGACGCAGCCCTGAGCACTGGCGAGGACACCAATCTTTGAGAAAAATGACATAGTCTACTGCAGTGAGTTGGTGTCTCACTCAGCAGTTCCCCACACCTTCTGTGTGAGTCAACACCGTAGGACCCATGACTGTGGGGACAGAGTCCCTTAACCCAAGTATTTTAAGGAAACTGTTAGTTGATCACGAGGAAGATGAGAAATAGAAAAAGATGCAAAAGTAGCAAGGAGAAATTTGTGCAGTGGGGGACAAAGTGTACTCTTGGGTCGAAGTATTTTCTAGTGCGACCAAAATGTGATCAAGCTATCTTGTGATGTATACAGAGGGGGCCTGGGAAAGCCCAGGCAGGTGGTACT